ATGTTTTTTTTTTTTTTTTTTTTTTTTTTTTTTTTTACTTAAATGCAAGGTAATCAAGCCTTATGTTTCTCATGGTGTTGACTTTGCAAAAACAAACTGGAGGAAAAGATAAAAGCAAACATAATACAAATCACAAAACCCAAGTGGATGATTTAGCCAGGCTACTTTTGGTCTTTACAAACGCTCGTCTCTGTGGAGTGGTGACTTGGCCCCTGCAAAATCAGCTACACGTGTATTAAGAATTTACTTCCCTGCCCTGTTCCTAAGCACCACCCTCTTTCCCACTCTCTTCCCTGAAGGAAAAAACAAGTGAAGGAATCTGGAAAAAAAAAACATTTATCTTCATAAACTCGCACATTTTGCAAAACTGTATTCTAAGAATGGTCACTTGTGGCACCTGACAGACGTACCCGTGAGTGTTGATGCAGCACAGTGAATGTTGATGTTATGTTTCTGACCCAACATAAGCATGACTTCCTTGCCATCGCACAAATTAGAGATAATCAGTCTTCCCAATAAACATTGTTCAGATCTGCATGAGTAGTGGGAAGGGTTAGGCTAATGTTGCACTGCTCTACAGAAGGGGGCAAAGGCGGTTTTGGAATTCAGAGTATGTAAATTTTAGGAGACTAAATCAAGCCCAGCTTCAATGCAAGCATGAGTAACTTTACCGGTTTTTAATATTAATGAAATATATGTGCTTTTGTGCTTTCCCTAACACCAAAGCATGCTTAGGGTACCTCAGAAGTACAATTGTTAAAGTGAAAAAACCCAAAAAAGATTCAAGCAATCAGCCTTGTTACCCATTCCTTTACTCTGGATGACTTCGGGTATTTTCGGTTTCTGAATCCTATTGCTATAATTCTGTTTCATTATTCGTTAGCTCTTGAAATGTTTGTCAAATGTCCTTACCTGTGGCAATGTCACCAGAAAAAAGTATCCTCTACAAAGTTGTTGCCTGTCTATTGCTATAGCTGCAAGGCTGAGTTTCCTGCACCAGGGAACATGTGTATGGGAGAGAAATTATGGAATAAATTGATGCACTGGCCTTGGAAAATAGCTGTGCATGATGTCAATGGAGTTGTATTTCACTTTGCCTGGGGTCTTGGTTTTGCTGGAACAGCCTATTAGTCAAATCTGTAAGATGGAAATTTCTCTGGCATTGTAGCTTGTTTGAGTGAACCCTAATGACAAAGTCTAGGCAATTATAGGGAATCTGGTATTCTCGGCCTGTAAGGTGGATGAATGTATGCCTTCAAAATACTCAGCCACACCTCATGGGGGGATTTTCCTTCCTCTAAGTTGGATTGTTTTATTGTCATCTGTCACTGTTTTATCCTTCTTTTGGCTTCTGTCTAGTCCATTCCTTCACAGTTTAATGCTTTTTATATAGTAGCAAATAAAATGGATATTGATAGGGGTATTTTAAGAAGCACAAGAGGTTGCTCACTAGCAGAGGAGTAACAGAACACTACCCACTTTCCCTAAGAAGCTCCAGTGAGCTTCAGCACTTCGTAATACTGAGGGGTTTCTCACCAAGGGAGTGTCTGTGACAATTTATTGGAAGTAGTGGGGAGAGGATTGACAGAGAGAATTATTTAACAGTCAAAATCTCCATTTTGAAATACATTCATTCTCTGGGTGCTCTTTTTATTTTTATTTTTTTTGTAAAACCATCCACTCAGCCCTAAATCTTCTAGTGGACGGAACTGCACAACATCCAGTGTATCTGCCAGCAAAGTCATTTTTTGCTGGAAGTGTTCCTTCAGCCACTGTGTGAGGAGTGGAAATTTAAAGGTAAATGAGGATTGTGGTTCAGACTTGCTAGCAGTGCATCGATACACAGCCACTAAAGATACACACTGAGACAGGGAAATACACCCCTTCTGCCCGATTGTCAGGAAGGGTGATGAGCTTGAGGAATGTGTCGGAGGGCTGGAGAGTGTCAAGTGTTTCAATAGTTTCTGGAGCTATACCTTCAGGAATTTTGAAGGGTTTATCTTAAATATATGTGCAAATCCCTGTAATGCACTGTGCCCTTGTGGCAGCACTTTTTTCACTTGGCCCCTGGTGCCACCGTGTTATTTCTCAAAAAGAGAAAAGCGCGTGTGAATCTGATTTTGTGGAATGAGCAGGTTAATGTTTGCACCCGCTGCCACGGTTTGAAAAGTGCACAAGTGTCTTGTGGTACAGAACTGAAATGGTTTGCAAAATGCTGGGGTTGACACAGGGCCGCTGTGAAGTGTCTTGCTGCTTGTAATAAAACAGC